GTTACGTTCACCTCCGGAAAAGCTGCTCATGTTTTCTTTGACGCATTGCCTTGTCATAAGGGCCCAAGTCTGGGTACCAACTTTACTCTTGCGTGCCCGTTCACTATCTTGGCTCATTTCAACGAGCTAGACTGGGCTGCACAGTATGGTGTGGAAGCCGATCTGGTCCGGGTTACCGTCGGGTTAGAGGACACCGCTGAACTATTATCTGGATTTGCTCTGGCTTTGAAAGCAGCTGAAGCTACTGTTTGATTTGTTCCTATACTTTTGATTCCACCTTCTCAAACATACCCTCTTACCATCATTTTACTCTGTTGATTCAGCTCCTCCAACAGGACTTTTTAGAAAAAAAATATGTATCACCATCGGCCGTCATCATTTGTATCCAACTACAAGCATTCACGTTCCGCATTATGTAGCATTCATCTACTAGATTTATTTTATGACATAGCCCTACTTACATGGAAAAATGGAATATTCTGACTACTACTGTAAAGCGCGAACAGAAAGTACGAGCGGTGAATCCTACAAGAATTCCTCGATATTAAACTCAAGATTCAGATTGGGAACTGGAGCCTCGATTAAGGCTAACTGGAACCTTCCGCATCTTGGCCGAGCTTCGAGTAGAGGGAACAAGATATCCCATGAGAGTCGAGACTAAACGTGTCCTGTCCACCGGACTATCCTCAGGTGGCGGAGGAATGACTTGAACAAGATCTTGCGAATCGATATTGTGTATTTCAACAGCGCCGTTAGGAAGGAGAGCGGCGACGTGAGGGTAATCTACACCTGAGGGCCAGATAATATAAGTTACAGACTTCAGGTCAAAAAAGAAAACATACATATAGAAATAGGATGCTGAGACCACGTCAACGTCCCGCGCACTGGATCACCACTAGTAGTAAGAAATATACCCATTGACCCGTTCTCACCCGTCCACGAAACAACGAGAAAGTCATTGTCTCCCGTAGGGATGATGAATGGTTCGACGGGCAAGTTTGGGGATTGTCCATCCTGATTCAATGGCAGGATTGGGAACATCTCAGCTGTCTCCAGGTTGAGTAAATGGTAGAGTTTGCTATCAGCTAAACACAGAGATGAGCCAATTCGGCGTGCCAAGATGACCGGTCCATCAGGCAGAGGAATTTCCTGCAAACGATGGATTGAGACACTTTGAGGGAACCGGTACGAGATGAGCATGCCTTTTGATAGAACAGCCGCTCTCGCAGAGAGTACAATGCAATCGAAGTTCTCTTCATCACGCAAAAGTCCACCGCTTCATTTCGATGAGATGCAGAGTTTGCTGACGGTGCGGGCCTTGTAAGATGCCGTTGGTCTACTGCGAAGGTGACCACATTTCGGATGGGTTTAATGACTTGGTGCGATACTACATCCAATGATGGCAGGGTGTAAAAGTGAATCTGTTTATCTGAGAAGACTAATGCACGCGAGATGCTGGGTAAAAGGACAATCTCTTCGATTGGTTTGTCGTTCGGCACGCTTTGACGCGATAAAATAGTATACGATTCAATCTGAATATAAAGATGTAAGCAAGACAGGCGGAATGCACTCGTTTGAAACATACCTCGCCGGTCTGAAGTGCGAAGCGCATAAGTTCTCCATTTGAACATCCGACGTAGAGTTCGCTGCCTACGCTAAAGTAAGCACCTAGATATGTGGCTTTATAACTGGGATATGAACCTAAAGCTTGACCACAGCGCACTTGAATGCCCTGCAAGACGGATTCTGGCAGTTCTTCCACGTGTATTAAAATGGTGCACTTTTCGAGGAGACGCGTTAGTTACCGCTGAATATACTGGGTATAAGCTCTTGGATCTGATAAGGAGGAACGAAAGAGGATGAAGAAGATGGAGGTAGAGAGGAAGAGGCCATAAACTGTATGACCTCGTGACCATCTAGGAGCCTTATTATGCAACCTCCATGATCTTGATTCACAATAATGGCTCACAACAGAAGGCTTTCTCAGTCGTTGACTTTATCCCCAGACCCGCCGACGATGAACTTTACGGTGCCCAATGATAGTAAGATCTGGATGACGCATTGGACAACTGCTTTCGCCCGAGGCAAGTACTTATTATGTCCTCTCGTCTCCTTTCTTGTCCTCTTATCATCGTTATCTTAGATATAATTGACTCTCGAATCGTTGCTGTTGACGCACAAACAAGTGTAGAAGATGCTTGTGAGATACTGCTCTCTTCTGAAGATATTTCATGTCTGGCTATCAAATCTGGCGACCATTCGGTTTCTGGACTTCTCGATGTGAATAGTCCCCCCTCATTTCAATCTAAATGAACATAGAACCGATGTACTGTGCAGTTCTCGGATGTCAATGCATTCTTAACTCTTGCGGCCACCAAACACACATTCTCTCCAGAAGAACTTCAAGATAAACCGCAAGTAGACGACATTTTTACTGCTGCGCGCGCTGGACATGTACCAGTATCCATCGTTAGCAGTAAGACTTTTTGCTGACCATAATTACCTTGACTTACCTGTTACCCCAGATCTTTCGGAGAAGAACGCCCTTCAAACTTTACCATATAATGCTACTATCGTCTCTCTCTTGGACTCGTTTGCTCAAGGTGCTCACCGAGGTACGTGCTTTTTATCAGGTGAAGCCGAATGTCAACACCTATACTTTTTACAGTTTTGATTCACTCAAATTCATCCAGTAGTGGCCAGGAAGACTTTCTTGGCATTGTGTCAGACCGTCGTCTTCTGGCCTGGTTCCTGTCATTTGCCCAACAGTCCGAATTCGAATCCTTGCGCACATATCTTTCCAACCCACTTAGCTCTTTCACTGACTCGCTTCCTTCGCTTAATCTGTTCACGGCTGTTGTGGCGGCCTTGTCAACAGCCCCTGTACTCGAAGCGATGAAACTCATGAGCGAAGAAGGTGTGAGTAGTATCGCTGTTTTGGAGGAAGAAGGCGGGACTTTGCTCAGTGCCGTCAGTGTCACGGATATAGGAAAGATTGTTGTCCCTTCGCAAAGTAACCAGATTCTAGCGATGCCACTTCAACATTTTATCTCTCTGGTTAAGGTTCTATCTTTTCATCTTGCTGTGTCTATGTTGGTACTGACAAAACATCGTTCTAGGGACCAGATGGATCTACTGACGGGGCAGACAAGATGCCCGTGTACTCTGTTTTCTCCACAAGCACGATGCTGTATACGATGCAAAAAATACTAGCCAGTATGCAACTATATGCTATATATTTATCTCAACCAGTGTCTGACTGATACTTAATTAGCCAATGCACACAGAGTGTTCGTCACACAAGAATCTGCCGAATCATCCCCCATACTCACACCGTTGTCCTCCGGAAACCTTGCGGGGGTGGTTTCTGTCGTCGATAGTGCGTATCTTTCAATCATACGCAATCTGTGCCTTCTAACGATTTCTCTGCAGTCCTATCGCTCTTTGCGCGTCTTGCAAATGTTCAACATGTCGACCCGACTATGCAGCGCCATCGCCGTGCGTCATCTGTCTCGTCACAAGCATCATCCAGATCAGACCACTCAAGGTCGAGTAGTCGGACCGGTATACGAAGGGCGTTGAGTGCAAAGACTTCGCATTCAAATCATAAACCCCCGAGCGTAACATCTCCTACTATTGGGGATTCAATCAAGCTATAATCTTCATGGACCCAGCAGCTTCGCCCAGTCGTCTTTATTTTTGTTCATATGTATTATTCTTAATCTCGTTTGTTTTTGTAAACGGAGGAACCTCAATTTACGTGCATCTATAGAACTGACGCTGCGTACTTGACCTACCTAGTACCACTTACGAAAGGTAAAATGAACGGTATCACCACCTGGTGTAGGTAAATTGGGAACAATCATATCGCCAGATATGGAGACGAATTCGCTAATACGACTATGAAACCAAAAGAGAACAAAACCATACGGTGCATCTCATTCTACCGTGTACTAGTCCTGTGCCGTGGCCACCTTGAAGAAGACAGAGAACAAGAAAAAGATAGTAGTAGCTAGAGGAGATTGAGCGAGCACTGTAGGCCTGAGGACTCGGAGAAACAAGGAAATCAGTCGGATTTTAAAAGTTCGAGTTGCAACAAGAGGAGCTACGAGGATGAACCGCATGAGAGGATCGATACAACGTTGTCAAGAATCAGGCGAAGCTACGAAAAGCCTCGAGTTCAGAAGACATTCCAAAGAAGCTTTGTACCACATGTCGTATCGGAGTCGTATCTCCAAGTCCCGAGCCAAGCAGTCGCAGTGCAGCTGGGCTTTCGTGCTGGTGTCATGAATGAATTTCGGTACGCGGCGGGTCCCAGAAGAAGAGGAGACTTGGAACTTTGGCGAAAATGAGGGCTTTCTAGATCTGCAGCAATATCGGGAAGATTACACGCTTTTGAACATGATATTTCGAGTGCATACATTTTCGTCTGTCCACTTGTGACTGAACACCGGATAAAGTCGTCCGGGCGGAATGGGTTTGAGTGCTCGTGTTTGGATGCGACCACACAGCAACGCAACAGATGCACCCGTAGATAGCTAGACTTGCCACGGTGATTTGTCTAGCTTTGCCATTGTATGATGCTGAAGCTTCGCTGTAGTTGGGATTTTCAACAGAAGTAAGGTACTTGTAAGCTGGAGTGGTCATAAGATGAAAACAAGTTCCTGGCTGGGAATCATTAATCATTCTCGCCATCCAAGTGAGACAAAGCGAGGCACGACCAGCAGAAAGTTTCTCCAATCTTGCACCCTTAGGCCTTTGTAGGGAAAAATAAGTATGTCAAATCGGATCGACAAATCCGGCCACAGAGACTCAGGACAACGAAGAGGTAAAAGAATGGTACACACGTATCGCGTAATCATGTATTCCTGAAGGAACTTCTAAACCGAGTCGAGTTGAAAAACAACCCACCTAATCAAGGAACTGGCCAGAAAGTAGAAGAACCTTGCGTGCGTACGTAACCGTAAAAAAGTTATCCAACCCCGTCAACAATCAAGCGACTCCCTGGCTGGGAGTCGAACCCAGCTTTCGCGCGTAAATGACGTCACAGATGACAGGCGCGTGTACTAACCGATATACTACCAGGGAGATGTTATAGTGCCTGATATTTTATTTGAATCTCTCTCATTCTTTCCGTACCTGACTGGCAGTGAGCGCTAGTAAGCACCCACGAAGAAAAATAACGGTTCAAATAGTACCGCCGCTGCATCACTCATTGAAAGGAAAGCTTTGGCACGTGGATGGACGGCATTCTCGAAAGAACCTGCAGCGATGAGCGAACGCAAAACAGCTGCGTTCAACCCGATGGCAGACATCTTTCGCGGCGTCATTCATACCGCGAAGGAGCATAGTCAAGAGGGGCCGGTGCCAATTTTTACCCTTACCGCTCAGAGTACTTAGGACCCGCATCGCGTCCGGATATCATCTTCGATTGAAGACTTGGATAGGCAGGACAAGTCAAATCAACATAGTACTGCGAAAGCGGAGCAGGAAACGGCGGGCAGGCTCTCATCCGTTTCTGTGACCTAGTGCATATATATCAGTCGTAAGGGAGTCTGGCTGACGTCTTTGTCCTTGTAGTTTTTTTTTCTCGTATTTCAAAGTCTTGCAAAATCGAATAACTCACCCGGGTGGGAGAACAATCCTTCTTCCCCGCGGTATTCTTATCTTTTTTATTGACAGGGCCCTAAAGTGCTGGAGTCGCGGTTATCCATGTGGATCGTGCTTGGAGTAACCCAGAGAAGTAAACATAATTTCTGTTGCCTTCCAATACGCATCCTGATTCTCTCAAGCCTTCAGGCTTCAAGGCTGGAATTCCGATAAATGACTCGTATATCGAGCTGAGAATCTTGTCCGACAACAATAAGAAATGAAGTGGATCCACCTTTTCCGGGAGAAGTTTTTTTGATGCTATTTCGACGCGTCCGATTGTACAATATCTGGATAACAATGGCGATAAAGACCTAACAAATTAAAACCATTGCAGGCGGAGGATATAAGAAGGATCGAGCAGATAGAGGCTCTATCTTTCTCGCCCTTGATGTCGATACAGCACAGTCCATCTTCTTTCAACTCTACTCTTGGAACAACCGGGCCGATAGTATGCCTCCTGCCCATGTGACCGCGTCTGGCGGCGATCTTGCCATTGAACCACCACGACCTAAAACCAATCCTCCCAATACCCCGGCAAGGGGAAAGGAAACCAGCTCCTCCGCTTTTCGCAGCTCAAGTAACGTGAAGGCGAAAAGAGATAGTGTCATAAAGACCTTACCCACCATGATCCCAGAAGTGTCGGTTGCGGATTTTTGCACCCACATCTTACCGCCGCTCCCTGAGGCGCTTAAGAGAAGGAAGCTTGGCCAGGTCCTGACAACCTTGAAACATGACCAGAAATGGAAGGATCGGGGCTGGTCTGCTTTCCCCCAAGAACCTGCAGCGAGGAGCGAACACGAGACAATTGTTTTCAGGCCAATGGCAGATATCTTTCGCGACGTCGTCAATGCAGGAATCAAGCATGGGGGAAGCGCTTTAGAGCAAACTTTCAACATTGCAATGCAGCCGTATGCAGCTCAGGACTCGGATCTAGGACCTGGGTCGCGTCCTGATATCATCTTCGAACGTCTATCTTTGAAGTCGACACACGCTGGGAATACCAAAGGTAAAGGCAAGGCAAGGCAATCTGCCATGCCGGAGGAACGAGATGCAGCCAACTCTTATCTCGTTTATCACCATACTGTTCCACTTCAGGCCAAAAAGGTCAATACACCCGGGACTGCCGACGACGTAAGTGTAATCTCGGTGCGACGACCTTTTCTAACGAAATTGCAGGATACTGTGAAGCTGGTTTATGATATGTCCACGATTCTGAGGTTGGATCCCTGTAGACGCTTCACATTTGGAATCACCGTCGAGAATTGCGATATGCGGATCTGGCTCCTTAGCCGCGCTGCGCTCGTGAAATCTAAACCATTCAACTTTATGAAGGTATGACGGTTCATTATATTTAGTTGCCGTCTTTCTCATTGCAGTCCTTTTCTATAGGAACCTGAAGTGCTGATACACCTCTTGCTCTCTTTCGCCTTCGCCTCTCCCTCTAAGATGGGATGGGATCCTACAATTAACTTCTCCCACGTTGATGAGGGTCGTAGACAATACACCATCGAAGTCGAAGGGAAAGTCTACACGACTATATCCATTATATTAGACTCTTCCGCCGACAGTCCTTTTGGTCGCGGAACCCGAATCTGGAAAGTCAAAGACCGCGAGGGCAAAATTCGTGTTCTGAAAGATCTGTGGCTCGAATGGGATCGCGTACCAGAACATGAAATCTTACAGCGAATCATCGACGACATCAAGAACTTGGATGACCCTGAAGCCCACGACATGGCTGAAATCGTCCGCGAACGAACCCTGACACCCCTCGCATTCTGCAAAGTCGCTGTTGATGACGCAGTAGACGATACGAAGAATGTGATGATGGGCGGATTCGACTTGGCGGGCCAAACAGTCATCGATCTCGTTACTGCCCCAACTCCTGCTTCTGGCTCCCGACAAAGTGTTGGCCCCAGCCTACCCTCAGATCGAGATCACGCGTCTCAATCCCTTACTTCCGAGTCTACTACCTTGCCAACCTCGACTCGCTCTCATCTTCCCCCCCGTCAGGCGCTTGCTCGTGAACAACCCGTTTACAGTCGAAGGTACCACTATAGGATTGTTTTTGAGCAATATGCTACGACGATCTATAACGAGCGAAACCTGGGCAATATCATCAATGGTTTGGCTGACGTTGTCCTTGGTAAGTTTTCACTGTTCCCGAGCGTCTTTTTAAATTTAACAAATTGCGGTGATAAAGCCCTTCAGTGTATACATCAGGCTGGCTGGGTTCATCGGGACATCAGTGGGGGTAATTTGTATTGGTGCCCAGAGCAAGATACTGGGCTGCTTGGAGATTTTGAGTATTCTCGGAAGGTGACAGATGAAACTACTCATCACCAAGTACGCACTGTAAGTAATCCCACTTCTTTGGAACCACTTCTCATCCATTCTCCAGGGAACTCCTTTTTTTATGGCTTCCGAGGCGCTGTGCCACGGGTATCTCTTTTTTCAACGACAAGGCCCGCATAGAACGACTAATTCTATAAAGACCAGGGTTTTACGCCGGCACGATCTTCAGGATGACCGTGCCGCCGCAACTGCTGTTCCTACCGAACGTCCTGTTTTTGCTTATAATGCCCTGCATGATCTTGAGTCTGTATGGTGGATTCTCACCTGGGTACTCTTTTTCAACGAGGACGTGGCCCACGCAGCTGCCAACCGTCAGAATCGCCAGGCTCGGATGGACCAACTTTTCAGTGGAGATATGGAAACCACTCAACGTCTACCTTTCTTTAAGGATGATGCGCAGTTGCAAGCTGTCGCGGAATTCATGTCCCCCACTTTTGCACCTGCCTTCACAATTCTCGTAAACTTTTCTGGACATCTAAATACCGCTTATCAGCTTGCGGAGAGTAATTACCCACACATCGAGCCACTCGCATTTCAAGATATTCATCATAGCTGTGCCCAAGCGCTGCAGTCCAAAGCGTTGTTGGCTGACTTGTCGAATATCACCTTGATTCCCGTCAAAGCGCTTCCGCAGGACACTGCACGAGGTAAGAAACGAAGTAGTACCTCCCTCGAATCGCAACCCAAGGCCAAAAAATCCAAGTACATGATTTTTCTGTGAATTTACTTCGGAATTGATGTTTTTATTTTGATTTTAGAACGAAGTCGAATTTGCGTCACGAAACGAAAAGAAGTTAGAACATTTCCACTTTCCGAGAGGTCGCTTTCTTCCCTCTACTACAACGCTCCCATTTGTATCTCGCATCTTCACATATCATGTAGCCTGAATGTAAATTACGACGAGTGAATACATCTCTTTTTAGTATGTTTTGTTCGAAATCAGATCCTCCGTACAGGTTGTATTTAGGTCACGAATACCTGAACCATATTTACAATGATGAATACTTGTCTTATTTTGGCAACAGTTACAGCACCTGATGCGAATACAAGCTGTGGTAATCGAATTAGTTGCCCTACCTAACACACAGCCCTTGCATACTTCCTTTGACCTAGTGCATATCAGTCGTAAGGGAATTTGACTGACACCTTTTTCCTTCTATTTCAAAGTCTTGCAAAATCGAATTTCTTACCCGGGGAGTGGGAGAACAATCCTTCTTCCCCAGTCTTTCCCACGGTATTGTTATATTGTTTATTGACAAAGCCCTGAAGCCCAGTCAAAACCCACACTGGGCTGATCTGGGCATTTGGCGTATATCTGAGTAGGTCTGTGTCTGTCCGTGTATCAACTGTGTATAGCTGGCAATTTTTTTTTTAATTCAATCTCAAATCTATTGGAGAGAAATTCATGCAGAACGGTCTCTAAGTTTGAGTTTGTGACTTAAGTACGCAGCAATAATATGACTTTGGCGCTTGCCAGTGAAAAGCCGCACTGGGCTGATCTGGTGCTAATCCGTGCCTGTCTGTGTTTGGTCTGTGTACAGCTGGCTAAAGGTAGGGCAATTTTTTTTTCAATTCAATCCCGAATCTATCGGTGGGAATCGAGTTTGCGCAAACTCAAGTCAACTGAACATGCAACCATACTTCGAGCAAATTGGCACTTGCAAACATTTTTATCAAGCGGTGAACATGTGACATGATAAAGTTGAAAAAAAAATTCCATCGCTCTTTTGTTCGCTCTTTCATTCTCTTCCTACCATCATCTGCAGGTTGTCAGTTTTCAAGATGTATTATTCAACAACTCCTCAACCCACTTTGGACTGTATAGACTTAAGAATGGATTCGTTGGGCTGGGTCATTCCCAAGGTGAGCTATCCTACCTTTCCTTCAATGAATAATTTATTGAACTATTTTTTTTTGATTAGCTCTTGTTGGCCTGTTGACGTTGTTGTGTGCCGGTATGCCACATGCCATCATTTTCACTAATTTCTGTGCATTCCAAAAGTGAGCTATCTCGACTTTTTCTTTTGAGCTGGTTAATTGACCAATTCTTTTTAGCTGGCCTTCTCAATTTTCCCATGACTATT